TATTTGTATTTATGTTGCATGCAAACATTTCTTTTTTATTTTTTCTCTTTCTGTTGATATCTCGAGTTGACGTTTCTTTTTTTTTTTTTTTCTGTATCTCCATGGGGTGTATACGGAGCATTTTCACGTCTATTTTTTCGTTTTTTTTTTCTTTTTTTTTTATTTTATATAATTAAAACAAAATAAAGAGTATTAAATACATTTTAATTGTTTTTTTCAGCTAAAAAAGGCCGATATGTGGTGAGACAACCATCCCTGCGAGAGACTAGGTGCCAGCAAGAGATCGATATACATTATGCTGATATACAAGCTTTACCTGTAGAGGGAGAATATCAATCACTGCCGCCTCTTCGTTTGCTTTCTTTCGGTATTTTATTTTATTTTATTTATTTTATTTTATTTTTTTTATTTTATTTATATATTTATTCTTTTTATTTTGTTTTTATTGTTTTATTTTTATATTTATTCTTTTTATTTTAATGTTTAATATACAAGCTTTACCTTTAGAGGGAGAACATCAATCACTGCCGCCTCTTCGTTTGCTTTCTTTCGGTATTTTATTTTATTTTATTTTATTTTATTTATTTTATTTTATTTTTATTATTTTATTTATATGTTTATTGTTTTTATTTAATTATTTATTCTTTTTATTTTAATGTTTAATATACAAGCTTTACCTTTAGAGGGAGAACATCAATCACTGCCGCCTCTTCGTTTGCTTTCTTTCGGTATTTTATTTTATTTTATTTATTTTATTTATATATTTATTATTTTTATTTTATTTTTATTGTTTTATTTTTATATTTATTCTTTTTATTTTAATGTTTAATATACAAGCTTTACCTTTAGAGGGAGAACATCAATCACTGCCGCCTCTTCGTTTGCTTTCTTTTGGTATTTTATTTTATTTTTTATTATTTTTATTTTATTTTTTATTATTTTATTTTATTTTTATTATTTTTATTTTAATGTTCATTCTTTTTATTTATATATTTATTATTTTTATTTAATTATTTATTATTTTTGTTTATATATTTATTATTTTTATTTAATTTTTATTATTTTATTTTTATATTTATTATTTTTATTTATATATTTATTCTTTTTATTTTTATTTTTTTGTATTTTGGGTGGTTAGGTAGTTACAATACACACAGATACTCGTTTGGCCTTCTTTCTATTCCTCTTGCTGTTTTTTTTTTTTTTTTTTTTTTTTTTTTTTTTTTTTTTTTTT